AAAAAAAAAAAAAAAAAAGAAGCAATATGCTGGGAAAATTGATTTTCCTTTCTTTATATAATTAACATTTGTTTTTTTTTTTTTTTTTTTTTTTGTTTGTTCTTTTGTTTTGCATGCTTTTTGATTTTATTAACCATTTCTTGTTTTCTGTTATCGGCGCGCACATTTATTAATTAAAGGAGGTCACAACTTGGTGGGCGATTGTATTTGCCAGCCCCAAATTAGTACAGTATTTAGCGCGCGCACACACGGAGGCAGACACAGCTCGGCCACTAAAGGCAAATAAGCGGCCTATAAAAATATTATTAATATGCCAACGTCACACACACATACACACACACACACATGCGAAGGCAATTCTCGACTTTTTGGCATCCGCCTTGCTGATGTCCGCAACGGTGTCGTGTCAAAGCCGCACACACATGTACAAAGAGAAAAAAAAAAATTAGCAGCAAACAACAATCACACACACACACACAGAGAGAACATATCAGTTGGGTGTGTTTTGGCCATAAATTTATTAACTTAGTGTCACATTTATAGCCACATTTTCTAACCAAACGCCAGCAGCAAAATTCGTGGGATCCACCCACACATCCCTAGTCCCACATGAGCAATAATAGCAACAGTTTTCACCATATAACCACGCCTCCAACTACCACCCCCCCCCCTCCCCTCCTCATCCATCCGCGTTGGCAACAAATTGCTTTAAAATGCACTCGATATTGTCTAATTGATTGACCGACTGACCGTGAAAATTCTCGCATTGCCTGGCAATTTATCAAACGGAATTTGAGCACAAATATCGCTCGAATTGCCAGCTTGACTGATAAGACAGTTAAATTTGCCATCAAATTAATGTGACTCCATCTACATAGAGTTCCATCAAAAACTATTAAAATCAACTTAAAGCTTCAACTTTTTTGTTGGATGGAATATATGTATATTGAAAAATATTATTTGCTTCCAATTTAAATTTGTAGTAAACTGAAGGGCCTTACAAAAGGTTGAAGTTTACTTAAAACTAGTTTAAATAGATTCTCACATGTTTGGAATTTATGAATTAGAAAAATTAGAAAAAAGGTTTTTAAAATGGAAATTAATAAATGCTTTCTTTCTGCTATCATACCAATAGGAATAGAGAATTAACCAATTTATAAACAAAAAGCCAAAATTTGGGAAGCATTTTAGTTTCAGGAATTTCTAATAAAAGATAAAGTAAAATATCTATAT